AAAATTAATTCACACAAAATCATAGCATACCTGCGCTCGTGTTCGGGCGTCCACTTAGCAATCAACGCATAACAGGCCGGGAATAGCACACTCTGAAAGGCACCCAACACTACACGGCTAGTGATGAATAGCCAATACATGTTGGCCCGGGCTATGAGAGGGGTCAGTGCGTTGATGACGGCGCTCATGGCCAGACTCACGGCGCACAACCATTTGGCGCCAAACAACTCGGCTAACCGGCCGCCCAACACCTGAAACGCTACGTATCCGTAGAAAAATGCTCCCAAAATGACACCCTGGGTCTGTTGGTCCCAATCAAACTCGCCGTTCCCTACCTTTCCCTCATTTGTTTTCACTGAACTATCGACAGTGGCGCAGACATCGCTTGAGCTACCGTTCCCGTGATTACTGGACTCACTGTCGTTATACATAGACATCTCGACGATAGCTATGCTTAAGTTGAACCGACAGTTGTATGTCGTAAATGTGGCCAACAGTACGACTGCGGCCATAATATAGCGCACCGGTAGTCGAGAACTGAATGTTGTTTGTCGGTTGTTTGTGGCATTGTGACATGAATCGTAATTAACATTATTATTACTGCCAAATTGTAGTATGGGGTCACTTGAAGTGTTCATGATAAATTATTAAATACTAAGTCAATAATATGCTGTTGCAAAATATTTTATATTGCAGAAAGTGTATATAAATAATAAAAGTAACATTTCGGAGACTTAGTAGAAAACTCTTAGAAAATTATAACTAATGTATTAAATGATAAGTAGGATTTGATATAGGTAATTAACAACTTGTACTTGGTAAATAGTTTTTAGAATTTGAGTAAAATATTGTCAATTGATATAATCATTAATTGATTATAAAATTAATCCAAATTTTTACATTTGTGACATTCAAATATAAAGTATACAACAATATTGTTCATCAAATCATCATCAAATGTTTATTAGACTCATACTCGTTGATCATGGTTAAGTATGAATTCATGTGATATATTGGCTAATCATCACATTATCACATCCGTTGATTAGATTAATAAATATTTATTAATGCATTACAGCACCAAGTCCATTACGGTTATGATAAATAAATGATGAACATGTACAATTGATATTTCAAATTATTAGTAATAATTTTTCACCTTAATAAAAATAAATTTTATAAAGACTAATAAAATTTACTTATATTTAAAATAATAATTTAATGTAATTGAAAATATTGTATATTGTAAATTCAGTCATACAGTACTTGTTAGATAAGATACTCAAATCAACACAAATTGTCTACAAAAAATGTGTGTGTATGCAACATGTTTATATTTATCTACGTTTACAATTAAATTGATTAAAATAAAAATTACTGTACATATACACATTCTGTATTCTGGGTATTAATGTGGTATTTTAAGTAATAATTTAGCTGCAAACAAATCCAAAGCCAAAAACAAACAAATTTAAGTTTTAAAATTAAATAATACAATACATTAGTTATTGCAATTAAAATTGCAACACTTAAAAGAACATCCAGTAGCTTTTAATAAATTGATAATTTATATAATAATACAAAGTAGATAAATTGATAATTTAATGACATTGAGTGCTATTCGTTACAAATACTAAAATCATGACAAACAAGGATATTTTATTATAAATATGGGGAGGGAGAAAACTTTACAAGTTCATTTCTAATTAGGAATAATTAAGTAAGTATTTAATTTCATATTAATAATTACTACTGACAATTAAAGTCCTAACAAATCAGTATAAATGAGTCCCTCGACGGCAACCATATCTGGCACTACATCTGTGAAGTATAGCCGCAAATGAGTTGATTTAATACCCAATTCACGCTCAATATGTTTGGTAAATAAGTCGACAGTATTTCGGTTCTCATTAGCGGTCACTCGACCCACACTTTTAAGCTCCCCATACATACAGTGCTCACTACTTTTTGGATCATTACCTGGGTCACATGAAAACAATATAATTTTAATTAATAAATCTAGCAAATTATATTATATCCACTACATACCAACAAAAATATCTTGATCAGTTTGAATATGGATTTCCATGCGCTGGTAGGGTTTACATCTTAATACTTGAGTCAATAATAGTGCTGTTTTATGTTTAAAATCTTTGGGTATTTTATCAGCCGGTACAGTTGTGGCTAACTGTAACAATGGCATTCTGGGGTTTAGTAATTTATTTGGTGTTTTTATTTAAAATTAAATTAAAATTTTCAATTATAAGTCAAGTCCTTTTATATGATCTTGAGATATCTAAACAAGTAAGCTTTATTGAAATGATTTCACATGTTTGAATGCAATAATTAATATTATATTTGCCTGCTGATAAAATATTACTATACAATAATATCACTAATATTACTATAAAATAATGATTAATTTGTCCTCACGTATAATGTCCTGCAAAATATCAGATTAATGATCATTTAATAAACACATGTACTCTAATCTACTATATGCTATATTTTAGGTTTTTATACAAAATTCTTATGAAAGTAAATATTTGACATTAAAATATCTGGTTTAATATCTAAATATGATTTAAGATGTGTGTTATCATTTATTAAATGTACAAAAAATTTCCATTTCACAATAAGTCCACGGTTACATTTAAAATTATTTGATTATTGCATTTGGGTACAAATTAGGTGTACATTTTTATCAATATAAATAGACTACATTCTTAAACAATTTGAAAGTCTAATTTAATAAAATATGCCCTTGCTAAAGTTCTACACGACTCTCCCTGCTCATCAAATACCAGTCGATTTTAAATTAAAAACGGCTCATATTTTGACACAAGTATTGAAAGGAAAGCCATTTGAAAAGATTGCCATTCATATTTTAACTGATCAAGACATATTTTCAGGTAATAAATCTCTCTCTCTCTCTCTCTCTCTCTCTCTCTCTCCAGTCTTACATTATTAAGTGTCGTCCGATCAGGTGATGATCCGGAATCTCAAAGACCCCGAGCATATGCCTCACTAAGAAGTGTGGGTCGAGTCAGTGCTGACGAGAACAGGCATACCATTGAAATCCTGGTCAAACATGTGTCCAATGAGTTAGGAGTTAATGCCAATGATTTTCGCGTGGATTTTGTGGACACGAGTCCAGATATGGGCTCTATTAAGGGAACTCTGTATCGCGATTTAGCCGTTTATAATTAGTTAGATCACCTACCAAACTTTTTAATCTAATTTTTAATTACTGTATTACTGTTATAATTTAATTAATATTTTACTTGCAACAGTATATGTTATAAATTAATTCAAACTAGAAAAAGTAATTATATAAAAATAAATACTTTCAATGTTAATCATGTCATTAATGGACAATGTATTAATATAAACCTATTTTAAAAACTATTTTACAAAATGGTAGTATTGTACAATTATTATTAAACTATTTAATGACTCCATTGTATAATTATGAGATAGGGATTGGTGAACAAATATGATAATTATTTATTTAATAGCGTGCTCATTATAGTGTAAAAATTCATTCATACGCCAGCTGTATGCTGAATAAACAATATACAAAGTACAGCAATTTTATTTTTACATTTTATTAAAATATATTTTATGTCAAGTGCACTAAAAAATGAGTTCATTTTATAGTTATTTATATTTTTGTGTTGCATTCATAAGTATAATTATTACTATAACTAGTGGTCAACAGTACAATCAATACGATAACCACAGATACAATGACAGATATAATACCTATAATAACAGAGACAGGTATGATAGATATGGTCAGCGCGATAACACCTACGATAATAATAATAAATGTAAGTTTTTAAAACATTACCATGCTTAATATTTCAAGACATAATTTTAAAATGTACAGACAGGTATGGAGACTCGGGGTATTATCAACACAATGGTGTATGTCTAGAGAGGGTGGCCTACTATACTAGAAGTTGTGAGGACACATTCACCGAAAGGCAAAGGGATGCCCGGAATAGTAGGTATAGCAGTGAAGTACAAGAGGGTCTGTGTTGGTAAGGGGTTTAAATTATTAATGTTTTTCTTTAAAATTAAATTGTTATTTCTATTTATTATATGAATAGTGCATTGCATTATTATCGCGATTGTCTGAGACGGGTAGTGGAGGACAGGTGTAGGGACACTAATCCAATAATAATTGATACGCTGATGGGGTCCCGAAAACGGGATTTAGACTATTGTCCCGCTTATACCCGCGACGAGTGCTCCCATTCATATCAAATGAAACCTATTTTTCTCGCAATTTTGTTCAGTGTTTTAATAGCTATTAAATTATGTTAATTCATTTAAGGTTTGTTACATTAATATTTCCGTGACATTAATCATATTACTTGTTAAAATAATTGCAACTAGAAACCTAGATACTATTATATATAATACTAGAATTAAATATTTTATTTCAGTCACTTATATGATATAAGTTATATGTATTGTAGTTGATTTAATTTATAGTAAATGAATTGTTAAAATTGCAACACAAAAATACCGTATTGGCAAAAGTCTCAATACTTTCCGCATGAATTCATCTAGACATGTGTTTAGCATTAATTAATATCACTATTATAACTATACCGTATGTTATACTGTATGTATATATTCATTGTTCATACAGTACTGTATCAAAAGCACATTATAAAAATTGTTTATTCTATGTGCAGGTGCATTAATATTTATTCATTTTTTGACCATTTTAAATAAAATTTGGATTCTGTTTTATGCCACTTTAATCCAGTATACTGTATATAAAATTAATAAAAGTGCAACTATTTACTAAAAATTGTATAATGTATTTTTATTATAATTATTTGTATTTATGTTTAATGTTATTGAGTATAACGCCCGACAATATCAGTGGTCAACAGTATAATCAATACGATAACCACAGGTATAATGACAGAGACAGGTATGACAGGTATGGACAGCGCGATTATTCCGGTGATAATTGTATGCTTTTCAATCATTTTCAAACATATATAATACAAATATAATTATTTAAAGACCGAAACAGGGATTCTCAATATAACGACCGGTATTATGATCGGGACAGGTATGGAAATGGCCATAATGATATTCGTATTAACCGTACGTCTCCAACATTTTATATTTACCTTGATTAATTTAATTACCTTTACAGTAATGTACATTATATTCATAATGATTAACAGACGGATATAGAGACTCCGGGAACAATTTGCACGACGACCCCTGTATACAAAAGGCCTTATATTACGTCAAGAATTGTGAGAATACACTCATCGATGACCAGAGGGATGCCCGCACAGGTAGCCACCGTAATGATGTTCATTTGGGTTTATGTTGGTAAGTTTGAAAATGAGATTATTTTAAAATTACTATATGACCATGTTATTTTTAGTGCATTGTATTCATATTACGATTGCGTAAATCTGGTGGCGAGGGACGAGTGCACAAACCCATCATCGGTAACAGTGGACATACTTATGGGGTCCCGGAAACGGGATTTAAACCAGGAATGTAGGGAATATTCCCGGAGTCTGTGTTCCCACTCTTATCGCCTTAAATCCACATTCATTTCACTTTTATTTTGCATTTTAATTATGATTACAAATGTTTATTGCATTGATTTTAATTATTTATAATAAAATAAATGTATAATAACTTAGTTTTCTAGTGCATTAATTATTGTTAAATAATAATAATAATATAAAAATACAAAATTATATTAGAGATGTTAATTGAAATAATGTATTTTCAAAATATTAGGTTTAACAGAGAAATATTGGCAAAAGTTTAAATAGTTTTCACATGAGTTGTCAAAATTTTGTAGATATAAATCACCATTCAAATTCAGCATTATTATGCAAACAATAGATTGTCATTTTTTGTTTGTCGTTTACATAAACCTTTCTAAAAGTATGTAATTTTTATTAATTATAATACCAACACTATACATAATAAAATACAATCAGAAACAAATTGTAAGTGTTTTGAAACAAATTTAATTTAACTTAGATTAACGTGTACACTATTTATTCAAAGTGCAATTGTGCACATTAATTTAATATTTATTCAGTTTGCTAAGCAATTTTAAATTTTTTATTGATCTAACTTTATTTAATCATTTGTTAAACCCATAAATTCAATAAAAGTGCAACAATATTATGTATTTTAAAAATAAATATTCATGTTTCTGGATAATTTTGTTGAGTTCAACTATCACCATAACCAGTGGTCAGCAGTACAATCAATACGATAGTAACAGATATAATGACAGGTATGACAGGTATGGTAGCCGAGATTATTCAGGTAATAAAATATTTTTATAAATTATATAAACTAAAAAAATTAATTTATAAAACCGTTATAATTATTAAAAGACCAAAACAAAGATTCTCGATATAACGACAAGAATAATGATCGGGACAGGTATGGCAGCTATGGGCAGCATGATTTTTCTAATTATAATAACTGTATGTTTCAAAATGTAAAATAATTTATGCGCAGGTTTAATACTTTAATGAAAATTCTTACTGAAGTTTTTGTTTTATAAACAGTAAGATACAAAGATCCTGGATACAATGGACGGGATAATCCTTGTATACAGCGAGCCGTGTATTACATCAAACACTGTGAGAATATCCTCATCGATGCCCAGAGGGACGCCCGGAAAGGTAGCCCCAGTACTGATGTTCATTTGGGTTCATGTTGGTGAGTTTGAAAATAAGATTATTATATTTTAAATAATGCTATTATTTTGATGTTAATATTATAAAATAGTGCATTATATTCGTATCACGATTGTGTGAGCCTGGTGGTAATGGACGAGTGTAATGAATATTCATCGACAACAGTAGATATACTTATGGGGTCCCGGAAACGGGATATAAACCTCGAGTGCGGGGATTATCCCCGCAATTTATGTTCCCACTCATATCGCATTAAAGCAACGTATATTACACTATTATTTTGTATTTTAAATATGATCAAGTATATTTCTTGTCACTATTCTTAATAAAATAATTTGATAATAATTCTGACATACTAATAATAATTATTATTACTTTATATTGTATATTTTATAGACCCAATACATATTCATTTATATTATTAGTAAATTTAATAATATTACATAAATAGTGTTTTCTAATTATTAAAAATTTTTTGGCAATCATACCTGTATTTTCCGCATCACATATATTTAATTCATTTTTATTCATTTTAAATATTTTTATTAGACAATACAATATACTCATAGCCTTGAATATGATTTTTATAAAGCAAAAATATATTTCTTTATTAAATAATTGCTTTGATTTGTTTAACACAACAAAAAATCTCTATCAACAAGATTTTAAAACTTATTGTTACATAAGTAAAATATTATTTTATTTTGCACAATGATTATTAAACAAGTTAATTAAAAATGGGTCAGCTTACTAAATGTTTATTAATATTTGTATTGAATTTGGCATTTTCTGTAATCATTGCCCAACAGTACAGTCAATATGATAGTAAAAGTGATGATAACAGGTATTACGATAATGTGAGGTATGATTGGCGCCCATACCCCAATTACAATAACTGTATGTTTTGTAATGAAATAATAATTTGGTTTAATTGTAATTGTGTTTTATGATTACTATTAGATAGATACAGAGATCAGAGATACTATGATAAGTATGGGGGACAGGACTACTACAACGATATTAATAGTATGCCTACTTTGTTGAAATATAATTTTAAAATTATAAATATTCGCTATTTATTTTACAGATAGATACCGGTACAAATATGATGAGAGGGATAGATACGAGGTTGTTAATTATCCTAATGTTAATGAAGGTATGTTTTATTTATCTATCATTATTTTTAAAAAATGATTGCATTTCTATAATTATTAAATGATTGCACTTAAAAAATAAATTTATTTTAATTATAAACAGATAGATACCGATTAACTGGATATACTGGACCACACGATACATGTCTAAAGCGGGCTATATATTACACAAAGGGTTGTGAAAGCACACTAATTAACAGACAAAGGGATGCCACCAATTATCGCTATAATGATGTTCAACTGGGTCTATGTTGGCAAGTTTAAAATGTAATTAATGTGTATTTTTATTTTAATGTTATATTAATAACCCAATATAGTGCTTTATTTGACTATTACGACTGTGTGAGCCGGATCATAGTGGAGCAGTGTACAGACCCCTTGTCGGTAATTTTAGACATAATTATGGGGTCCAGGAAACGAGATATGAATGTGGGATGTCATCACTACTTCAGATCCCAGTGCTCGCACTCACATCAATTGAAAATCCCATTAAGTTTGTTTATAGTTGCTATTTTATTAACAAGCATGACAATTTATTTTACTTATATTTTATAAAACTATAAGATAAAAGTTTATATTAATATTTAAATAGGTTTTGAATTTTACTAACTAAATTGTATGATAATAAATAGCATAGAAACCATAATTATATGAACAACACTCAGGTTTAGTATGAATACAGAATTTTGGTAAAATAATTTGTAAAAAACCGTTTTAAGAGCTACAAAATGTGTAGTCAACAAGGAAAGTAAGTAAAAGGTATGTAAAGGTGTTTTAATACTCTATTGATATATAACTTATAAATTGAAAAACTCAAAGTTTTTATTATGTAATAATTTCTATTATATTACTAAATAATAATAAAAACATAAAAATTTGAACCTAATTTACTTTTACTATAACCTGAAACCCCTTTGAACAGGGAGTGCCTCATAATAATTATTGCGATTTGACTTTACATTTATATTGCTAACTATCAAAAATACTTAATATAAGATTTTATTTTAAGTATTTATATCGTATTCTTATAAATAATAATTGCTCTAAAGACTTATAATTAAATTAGTTTACAATAAACAATGTGTGTGTTACTATTTCAAATGTTGCCTGATCATTTATTGTGGAAAAATAATTATTATTTAACCCTTTAATAATACTGTGCTATTTAATTATTCAATAATAAAATTATTATTAAAGATTTATTAAAACTTATACATTTAGTAATTGTTAAAATGGATTTAAAAATTAAACATGGTTATACTTGTGTGGTGATATTATGTGCATTAATTGCTATAACCAATCAACAGTACAGTCAATATGATTTGCAAAATTACAATGATAAAAATTACGGTGGGCAACAACATTATTACGGATCTAATACAAGTAAATACCTAATATTATAACATAAATGTGCTAATTTTTATTTTCAAAATAAAACTAATAATAATAATACTTCCCATTATTTACAGTTGGAGTTAGAGATAGTATAAACTTTCCCCGAAATGATGTGCCACAGGGACAGGGATATAACAACATGTTTGGGAGTCGTGTCCATTTCGGTGGTGATTTTAATAGTAACTGTATGCCTTTAATATTCATATACCCTTTGGATTGTGCAACAAAATACAAATTGTTTTTTCATATATTTAATAGTCAGACAAGATTCAGGTAACTATCCACAAACCTCTGGTAATTATCCACAAACCTCCGGTAACTCATGTCTGGAAAGGGCTATAATCGACACCAGGGGTTGTGAGGATCAACTTATACAGAGACAACGGGAGGACCAGAGGTATCATCCGAGTGATGATAAACAGCAATTGATTTGTTGGTTAGTATAAGACAATGAATGTGTGATTAACCCTAATGTAAGGTTGCATTTGTGGTCCAAAATAGTGCATTGTATACGTATTACGATTGCTTGGGTCGGGTAGCCATGGAGAAGTGCACCGACCACTCGTCCATAACCGTAGACATACTGATGGGGTCCCGGAAACGGGATATTAATCAGGCCTGTCGTGACTACACACGTGTCCAGTGCTCGCACTCGTATCCATTAATTCCGACATTCATTACACTATTATTTTGTATTTTCATTACTATTAAGTCTCATTGTATTAGTTATTCACTATAATAATCATTATTAATAGCCTTATTTAGTTATTTACAAAAGATTGTATTATAGTCTGAACCNCGTATCCATTAATTCCGACATTCATTACACTATTATTTTGTATTTTCATTACTATTAAGTCTCATTGTATTAGTTATTCACTATAATAATCATTATTAATAGCCTTATTTAGTTATTTACAAAAGATTGTATTATAGTCTGAACCTTGGCTTGAAATAGTAAAATTTTTAAATAATAAAATAAGTTGAAAAATTTTCTGTACTTAATAATATTTATTTGTTATTTTTAAATAAAATATAAATATACTGTAATTATAGAACTATATTAAGATCTTATTTTACAAATATTTTACATTTACAAATGAATTAAGTTATTAGTTTGTTTAAAAATACTATTGTAAAATACTTTATGAATCACAAAATTATCGTTTAATTATAACATTAATCAATATTATACTAAATTATAAATAACTATGACACTAAAAATATTTAATACCAATTTAATATACAGGTATGATCCGGTATTATAATATCGCAATAATTAATAAATAAATTATCAAACTATTCTACCAATAACAATTAATATTTATATAATAAAATATATAACTTGCTATTAATAAAAATACTAATTATTAAAATTAATTGTTAATTATAAAAACAATTAGTGAACTTTGTTGCAAAGTCTATAAAGTACTGGAATAATAGTCAACAATGATAATTAAATTGTACTAGCAAGAGTTATAATATTCTCAATAATTATTTATGTATGATTTAAAATAAAATCAATATTGTATTAATTCACTTTATTGTCACTTTAAATTATTATACACCACTGTAATATTAAGTGCAAGTTTATAAAATCAATTAATTAATTTTCTAATCAAATCATTGGATTATTCCGTAATAATAAAACGTCTCAATAACAGGAAAGTTACTAAACACATTTTTACTTGATCATTAATTACTAGTATCCTAATTCTCTTTATTATTAATAATATTATACGTAACACTTGTTGGTAGAAATGTACACCAAATAACTACAAAAGCCAAGGTTTCCCCTAAAATATAAAATATACCTAAATATACCTATCTAAATTTATAAACAAAAATACTTTGTCCAAACAAATTGGATAAAAAAATTTTACATTAAATAACATTATGTAGAAATTAATATTTTCAAAAGTATAAGTTATTATATTATTAAAAATTATATATGATTTTTTAAATATAACCATTTGTACCTTGGTATCTCACTTA